TTTTATTTCAAATTTCATGTCCCTAACATTAGAGTAAATACTACCCTTTTTGTGATTTTTGTATGGTACCAGTATGAATTTAACTGAGCTATGCCTTAAAAAGCACTATGACCACATACTAATTTCATAATGTTGACTTCTCTACAAAACCATTTGACATTCATCAGTTTCCACCTATTTCTCTCCTTTTCATTCCCAATATCTTTGTACTACTCAATCATTGCTTGTCTACTTCACTACAACTACTTCAGTAATCATTTCTCTTTATATCTTTATTTAATTTTTTCTCAAATCAGTTCTTTGTTTTTATAGTGACGTTTTACTATATCTTTCTGCAGTTTGGAAACCTGTGATGGCCACCTGATGTGTGTATAATAGTACTCATACCTTTAGCTTGATTTTCAAAAATCTTGATATTTTGCTCTAGATATTTCTCACTTTATCTTTCCCCACTACTTCAACCCTTGCCTACTCCCACCTCCAAATACTGGGTGTTCCAACTATATTGTCTACCTGCTACTTTCTTAAAAAATAAAAAAATTAAAAAAAAAACTTTTTAAAAAAGCATTTTCTGTTTAAATAGTGCTGGTTTGTTTTCCTCTACTGATTTATTAGAATTTTATTCATTGTTTAAAAACTTAGTTCAAATGCCATGCCAGTACTAGCCAGTCCTACTAACATAGTTAAGAAAACTTATGTTTTCTCCTGTGGATTGTAAATTTTTTTTGAGTAGGGTTTATGCTTTTATTTCCAACCATTCCCCTTCCGTTTCGTAGGGTCCAATACAGTTACCTTAAATTTTGTTGTTTTTCTGTTGTTTTCTAATTTAGATATAAAAATTAAAAGAGTTATTCATTGCGAAGTTAGGTTTCTCCCTGAAGTGTAAAGCAAATATAAAATAATAAAAATTAAAATTGATCTCATTAGCAAGGCATAAAATTTTTGAAAAATTTTGTAACTTAAAGAGTTAAGATACTATAAGCTTCAGTTATTGAAAAGATTTTCAAAAGTTTGAGTGTTTATAACATGATAAAAAGTTAAAACATCAAACTTTTGGTGTCAAGGTTCTTCTACATAAGAATTATTGAGGACTTTAAAGTCCTGTTCTAAAGAGATTTTACTTATGTGT